CACGAGCTTGCACCCATGAACCACGCACACCGGAGGCTGAATTTGATTACACGGACGAAGAATACCTCTTATAGTAAGTGAGCAAGCAGCGTTTCCCTACTTCGTTATTCGTTTTTCAGGGTACCATGGAAGAACGGATTTACAAGCGCCAGGTCACGAAGGAGTCGACATCACTGCGTGTGGTTGATGAAGCACAAATCCAGCGACATTTCGCGGGTCTTGATTTGTTGGAACTGTACAAGTTTGATCCGGATGAGTTGCCGAATGATGGAAACACTTCAACAAAATCACTGATGGCGCCACCGAAAGTTAGTTTTTTGTGCTTGTGTCTTTTTCGCTTTGCTGTTAGAATCGTTTTTATACGAAGGGGATCAAAACCCCAATTTGCGCGGATCCCATGTTCATGATATGGCTGCGATACTTCAACACGGCGAGCGTAGCTCTACCAGACTTATTGATCTGTACGGCATGCTTCCAGTTAAATATCTGTTTGTTTTGTCGTGAGCATCACTCGCTAATGCATGACGTTTTCATTGGTTGTTGCCAAGATAAGTATCATACCATACTCATCGGATTTTACTTTCTCGCGTGGTAACTTCTTACGTGCTGCTTTCTTTGCTGATCGCTCGCCCTTATAGCGGGTACCTGTTCTTCTTTCGTCAGTGATCACGTTTTCTCATTTTCCTATTCGGTTTTCATACATTTTCCCATTCTCCTAATGCTTTTTACACTGATAGGATTTCTATGTTATTCTTCAGCATTCATACCCTGACAGCTGTAGGCGATGAGTTTTCTGTTGTGTCCAGTTTGATTTACATAATATACCGGGTCCCATCGCTCTTTTTCCTGCGTTTCAGCGTGTGAATGAGGACTTCCAGACTTGTGTTGCTTTGTTTCAGGATCGAATGTTGGCTGATATCATCCTATCACATAATGATTGCATCGTGAATTACATCCTGCATGACTCATTGTTCGAAAATCTGGAAGAGGAGAAGCTCACCGATCAGGTGACCTTTTAGATTTATCACTTGCGAGGACGAGGGATTTGTGAGGTTTTTTTTTCGAGATAGGCCAGTAAAAAAATTACTTTAGTCGATGAGCAACTTATGTTCATAGTGCTGTATTGCCAGTGAAGAAAAGCAGTAGCAGAAAGTGTTGCTTGTGTGTTTAAGATCAGGAATTAGATGCCGCCGCTCAGAGTCAGTACTTTCGCAGTTCGTTCGTTTGTTTCGATGGTTAAAATGGTACTGGTGCATCATACCGAAGAGTGAAAGCTGCCATCAGCTTGTTTTTTGGCAATTTTCGGAAGAGACCATCGCCAGCCTTGCCAGGGGGTGCTGCTGTTGGTATTTGCTATCATTTGACCTACTTCCTTGGAGCCATAGCAATTCGTAGAGGGCAAATGCGAAGAAGAGAGAGGGAGGGGCGGGGAGAAGGGATTTCGGCTATTAAGATGAAATTTGAAACATTTCGGGTTACGGAGTCGCATTCACTGCTAGTGAAAAAGAGCACTGAAAATCGAGAGATAGCTATTTAAACGGCGCTTGTACCGCTTTTATGTTTGGTAGTGAATCAGATTTCTGGATGTCTTGTCCGCCTTTTGTTCGTTTTAGCTTTAAATTGCTCGACCCAGTGGTTCTGAATATTGGAGCCAGGCTGGCTGTTTTGGTGCAAAGAAGCAGAAATAAATTCCTTATGTCTCATCTTATGGCATCTCAAGTATTCATACCTTGCGGCAGCACTATTCTCGCGACTGTTAATTTCTAACTCCCTACAGCAATATTCTAGGCAATCAGGATTGCAAATTAGATTTCAGTAAGGGTGTTGACGAAACTGTGACTGACGTAGCTCCGAGTTTTGATTTTTGTGTTGATTTCATTATCTTTGCTTTTTTTTTTTTTAATTCCATTTGTCAAAATATTGCAGGAATGTAGGGAAGCCTGGGAAGATTATGAGAGAGAGAAGTCTGGTTTGGTTCGGAACAATGGCATGTTCAACGACAATGTAGCTATGATGCAGGAGTTTGGTAAGAAATTTTGTTGTCATTGCTGTCAATGCATTTTGTTATTATTTATCATTACTGTTTAGACACTAATTGCGCCAAATCTGTGAGGCAATACTGAGTTCAAAGACTTGGTTTACCGTGCTTCGATTTTCTGGTTTTTCATGTGACAGTACCTGATACTCTGACCAGCTCCCATTTTATCATAGGGCGCCTCACGCAATTCGTTGCAGCTGTAGCTGTTATTTTTTTTTTT